AAAAAAGATCAGGCTCACCACTTTTTTTTTTCCCCCTTATGTGGAGCCTTCCGGGCTGGTGCTCCCCTCTGTGGCTGTAGGGTTTAGACACTAAAACTCCTTAGAGGTGTTTTACTTTGCAGTGCTCCAAAGTCATTTGCTGCATCCCAAAGTCATTTAAGGCACATTACACCGCCAAAAGTGCTACAGCAGCTGGAATTAACACATAATACGCCACCAAATGTGCAAACAGCAATGCCATTAAAGTGGTACAAAAGGCATTTAATCCACTTTAAACCTGCTTTAAAGTGTCGTCTACAAAAGCTATAGTTTTAAAGGAGGCCTGCACTGAATAGTTAAAACATTGTAGAGAGCTAAATAGTCATTAGTGGAGTGCTATACAGAGCTGGACAAATAACATGCAAATTATTCTTTAGATGCATTTCACTTCTTTCTACTTCCTTCTGGAGGTGTCTACTTTAAATCTGCTATGCCTCTCCACCAAACACACTTCACATTTGTCTGAGTAACTAGGCACCTGGTTCTCCCCTGCCATGTTTCTGATTTTCTACCTCTTGTATCTTGGAGCATGCATTCCCCTTGCCCAGTTGCTAGCTCTGTCTTGGTCTGCTTCCACTAAAATCATTCTGGGGCTTCCATCTCAAACACCAGCCCCTTCTTCCAATTGCTGTTTCCTTCCAGCAACCAGGTGCTGCTGCTCACTAACACCTGCAACTCCAGTTCTTTCACCTCCCTGACTGGGTTTCTCTGCTTAGAGAGATTTGCTCTTCTCCTGTCCACATTCCATGTTTGGACTGCAATCCATCCTGTAGCTGGGTTCTGGTTGCCAGGTCATAAGGATGGGATATAAATAGCAATGCTTTTACGTGTGCAAGAGAGTGTAACTGGTTCTATTTAAAGACTGTGGGCAGGTGCAAATCTGCAGCGTTGCTGGGCATAGTGAAGGGGTTTTCCATCAGGAACAACTGGTTGTGCTTTCTGTCAAGCTGCTGCACACCAGAATAGCCTCCTCATTTCTGCACACTCTGCCTTCTTGCAAGGCCTTTCTACACAACCTCACCCTTGGACTGTTCTTCTATAGTTCATATGTGTCCAAATCACAGACTTTAGTGGGGCAGCCTGAGGAAGCGCTCAAAGATTCTATTAGAGAAGGAAACGGACAGCACCTAAGCAGTTAAACATCACTTCATCACCTGTAGGCATCCCAATCAACTGAAATTACCAGTTCTATTAAGCAGCGGTTACTGCTATGAAGCCTCATTAGGCTCAAATTGGCTCCTTGGGAGACAACTCAATTAAGCTGGTTTCCCAGCTAAGCAACTTCCCATTAGGCAGAGTGGACAATACATTTACAAATGTGTCCAAATTGGCTCTTTCAGTCAGTGTAAAAACAACAAAAACTGCCTACACAGCATTTTACATTTGCAAAAATGCCAAAGAACATTAACAATCAAACAATTAAACAGCCGCCCAATATTTACTTATATTTAAAATAATGAAACCACCTCTCTCATGCTTTAGATTCCCATATTGCTTATATAATAAATAAAATGAAATTGAACATGCCATAAAAAACCTTTCACACAAATTCAGCATGCCCAGCAGTCAGTCAACATGGGTGCCTATACTCATGCAGGGAGGCTGCTCCGACACACTGTAATTACAGCGCATCAGAGCAGACTCGATTGGGGTAATTACTGCACTCCAGCTGACTCCAGTATCATGTGTATCAGCATCCCTGCACTGAAAAATGGTGGTGGGGTGCTTTAACCGAAGCTCATTTGATGATCTATTAGCATGGTTTTTACCATGACACCCCACTACCGCACAGTGTTATGCAGTGTTGTATAGGCTAATGTGCAGTAAGCACCTCGTGTAGACATGCCCACTGTGTGGGAGAGTCTGACCTAAGGACTGCTTGTGACTATACTCAAAATGAAGTTTAACTCAGAACAGACTACCAAGGAACATCGTCAGAAAGCACCCCCCATTCCAAAAGCAAAGTTTGTGTTTCTGCCCTGGCTTCTGGACAACATAATCATTGCATGAAACCTGCCGCTAAAATTTCCTAGAACATTGTTGGGTGCCTCTTCCAGGACATACCTGGGGATCATTTTAAGTTGTTTTTCAGAACATCTTTTTAATAAAGATTGACCAACATGGGAGCTAGTTAGTCAGATCCTCCTCTCAGTTGCCCTCAGGTCTCAAGCACTCAAGCAGACAGATGAGAACTCAACTCTCCAATTTTTTCAGAAATAAAAATCTGTCTGATAAAGTTTTGCAAACTCAATGCCAACAACCAGCTGACAGGATTTTGCAAAACCATCCCCATTTTTAAAACAAAGGCTGAACTGCATTAAGCCAGACTCTCATTTATTAAACCCATTCCAAACGAGCAGCATCCATTATACACATTATGTTTTTTTATTTTACTTGCACTAAGAAAGGACAATGTTTTTTTAGGAAACACTGAAACCTTAGAACAGTTGGGCCAGCCTTTTCAGCAGATGTGCCAAATATTACCCCTGCACCCTCCCCAAGTGATCCCCTTTGCTTGCCCAGTCCACTGCTCTTTCAATTCCCGACTCTGTGCTTCCTACCTGATCTGCTGCTCTACTTTCTGCTTCCTTCCCTGTCTGCCACTGTTCTGCTTGTCCCTCTCCAATCTGCCATGTGCCACACACACAGGCTGCCCGTGCTACTTGCGGCACCTGTGCCATAAACTGGTCACCCCTGTTCTTGAACACGACATTCATAGATTCCTAGATTGTAAAGCTTGAAGGGACCTTGGAAGATCATCGGGTCCAGCCCCTGCACAAGGCCAGAAAGACAACTGGGGGTCAGGTGGCCCCAGCAAGGTGACTGTTCAGTCTCCTCCTGAAGATTTCCAGGGTAAGCGATTACACCATCTTTGGAAGGAGCTTATTCCACTGTCTGGACACCATGACTGTAAAGAAGTTTCTCCTAATGTTGAGCCTGAATCACAATAGAACAACTTGTACTTCAGTGGAATAGCTTAATCTCAGTAACTTTTCTTAGCAGAGTACTTTCAAGCCTCTGCTTTAATAGCCTGATGCACAGGTACTGTAAGGTTCCCCTTGGCAGGGAATTTCCTGTTTCAGATCCTGTGGCTTTACTACAAACACTGAACGCAGTCTTCTTTCCAAGAGCTTCCTTTCCAAAGCATCCAAGAAGACCATGCTCTGCCCAGCTACCCAGAACTTACCTGACAGTAATTCCTGACTTTTTTTTTTTTAAAAATGAAACAGGGTAAAATGGAAAGGTTTAGTATTTACCACATGCTGGGATGTCACAGAGCTCAGACTTAAAGTTTTCATCTAAGGTAAAACACCACGGGGCTTCTTTCTGATTCCCGGGATTGCGGCAGTAAGAATGGCCCCCATTTAGCTCTGGGTATCTGACAGCAGTGAAGGTATGCGTGTGCGGATACTGGGAATTCCACGGCTGGCACTGCCGTCCGGACTTTGTCACGCTCGCAGTTCCTCGGTAATCTACTCCTGTGCTGTTGTAACATTTGTGATCTGAAAAGCAGTAGGACAACAGTTGATTGCAGTGAGTCAGAAGACAACCAGCCATCCTAGCTGCTGGTTGCCTTAAACTCCCAGCCACTGAGCACATCTCTGCTGGCCTGAGGCCTGGAAATCCAGTTGAGGAGTAAGGGCTCTCAATCTGCTGTGGCCATAACACTGGGCCTGCTTTGCATTACATTCCTGGGAGGATTTAAAGCTTATGCTGCAGTAATGAAAACAGCTTACTCCAAGTATTTTTAATATAAAATACATGAGAGAAGTCAAAACTACAGTGGGAGGCTAAATTGCATCTATTACTTTTGATATAAAGAGAGAGAATTTGTGGGCCCTGAATTTTTTATTTGACAATTTCAGACACACAAACATTTGATATTGTAGTAACTCAATAACCAGTCTGATCAAAAGAGTGAGCTCCAGCAAATGCCTGTAATTATGCCTTATTAGACAAGGACGGCCATGGAACCCGATACTGCAAACCTTACTTATGATGAGCAGTCCTTAATCACACCAGCAGCTCCACTACGGTACACAGTACTATGAAGGGAAGGATATCTCACCTGGGGGTTGCAAGATCATGACTTCCGACGTTTACTGATATTAAAATGTTACAAGTGAAAATAGGTGTTGATTAGGTACTATTCACGAAAGAAGATCTGAAGCCCATAAACTGCTATCAGCCTAATTTGAGACATAACTAATAAACTAGACTAAAAATAAGTACAGTATCAAGTCATTCTGAATTTCTGTGGGTTCTGGTGTAATCAAGTGCAATCTAACAGCCTGGTAATTTGAGAGAACAATATTTGTGCTTTTTCAAAGCCCGTAACTAACTCTGAGTCTCAGGCACAGAGCAATTAGATACAACCTTTGCCCACTGATGATGGTTTTTGTGTGAAGTCGACAACTTTCACTTACTTTTATTTATAGGATCTGCCATAGGAATTCCAATCCGGATACAATTCACAGCTTCTGGGCTATCTGGCTGGGGAAGATCTTCGCAGTTTGGCAGCTTTAATCTCATAAGAATCATTGGATTAGATCTAGCAAAAATATACTCTGTTTGACACAGAACATTTTCCAGGATTTCACATTCATCACGGCATAGATCCCGGGGCTTTGGAGCTGATGAAGTCTCATCGCAGTATGGGAAAGCATAGTGGCACAGCGAAGGAATAGCAAACTGGGAGCACTTATCAGATAAGTGACTGGAAGTGCCGATCATGGTGAAGGCAGCTGTAACACAAACAAAAGCTTTTCACTTACTATGACAGAGGCTTATTCCTGTGCATTGAGCTCAACAGCATAACCCCTACTTCGGTAAATTCCCATTGTCAAACATGTACAAAGCAAGGCAAACAAGCTAATTTTTCCCAGGAAATACAAGGAACTATTATTTTCAGACTGTTATATAACAGAGGGGATAAATGTATATTTAAAAATACAAGATGATAAATACTGTAAAATTTGATCATGTTCATTTCAGCCACAGAGAAATTACATTTTGTTTTCAACATTTCATTCATGTCCAACAAAACAAAAACTAACCTGTTGCTTTTTCCCAGCTGGTTTGTAAATCGCCTAAATATTTCTTCAATTTCTTTTCACAGGCAAGGGCAGTTAGTCTTATGAAACACTGTATGCTTCTTTCAAGAGTTTTTATTTCAAGAGATCCAAGTGCAGCGTTCAGACTTAAACAGATATAGCATATGAACTGCTATACAGACACAGATCACTTTGGCTATTACTATAGTACAATGTGAGCCACAGTTTTAAAAGTGCATGGCAATCCTGCCCAACACTTTAGGAAAAGAAATGAAAAACTTCATCCAACTGAAACTGCAGGAGGAATAAAAATCCTGGAATGCAATTATCTCGGCTGGAAAACAGCCGAGATTAACACATCTAAAAAAGTTTTTAAAATACCATGACATTTTTACAAGAAGGTCAGAGATCTCTGTTAACTGTCTCATCCAAATTACAGCATTTCTATCAAAAGAATGACCCCTAACAAAAGTTGGAGCCTCCATCCTTTTTTTGAATCAGAGGCAAGAATGCCACCTGTTGAATGACTAACACAACTTTCTTCAGCACCCCTGGGTTTCATTAGCAATCTCTCAAACAACCATTCTTCCAGTTTGGCCTTGCTTAGCTATTAAAAACAGTGCAAAGGAGTCTAGTCGTGAGCCATCCCCACAAAAATACTTACATAATACGATGAAAGATGCACAGCTAGTTAAAAACCTTTGCATGCTTGAACTGACCCACTCCACTAACATTATGCAATGCAGCCATCCTGATTAAGTGTTACTATTGTGATATTTGCAGCAACCAAGGAGGCAGCAAAAGAGATAAAACAGGAAAACATGGTTTTGGTGATAAAATGCTCTAGCTGTTCTCTGTTAAAAGATGTAGTGTAAAAGAGGAGCAAACAGTCTTTACGCACCTGTAATTTGATTTTCTATTTCACCTTGCATATGTAAAGACTCCATATAAATCGTTCGATTCCCAATAAACCTTGCACAAGCAATTCCTCTGTACGGCTGGCAAAAACCATCCTCTTCATACTCATCTCTAAAATCAATAACATACACAAAGGGATAAATACACATTTCAGATGGAATTCAGCAGCAAAATGTCACTAGGAGGAGTTTGCATTCATATTGCTTGAGATAGCTTTGAGGATTCAGCTGTCTTTATCTTGCCATCCAGATTCACTATGGGTGATAGGTGAAAAACACATCAGCCCTTCACCCTCTAAACCCTGTGTCAAATGATTATATGGTTCCTGGGTTTTGCAAGAAGCATTCCAGAGGCTTCAGTGCCTTGGGTGAGTTTAGGTTGCCCTGGGTGAGCCCTGAAAGGTTCTGTTGATGCTGTATGATGGTTTTCAATAGCCGGAAAAAAATTAGCACAGTGAAATACACATTGCAGGTTAGAAATGCACTAATTAGTGAATACAGGTAATACAACATTACAGGTGAGACAAAATTCAAGTTAATGTTGTCTTAAATGCATCATTTCTGTGTCAGGGAAAAGACTGTATTCAGGAATAATGAAAAACCATCAAAGCATCTTCCAAACGTTTTACTTCAGAAACCTAAATGCACTAGAAGAAATAACATTAGATAGATAGGACCAGTTTCTATTCCACTTACTGGTATTAGGCATGTAGGTAGACTTAGGTAGACAAGTGCAATCCTGCTCTACCCTGCTCAAGTTCAGATGATGGTGTGTTACAAAAGTAGATGGAGCAGATTTTTCAGGGACTTGAACAGGGTAGAAGAGAATCGCACGTAACTTGCTAGGTCCACTTGTCCCATAGGGGGAATGAAACCTAGTCCATATGGAATCAGAAGTGCAGAAAAATGTTATAGCTCTTGAAACACTAGTATTCAGTACCTTTAAAATGTGGAGGAGCTTCCTCCGTAACTTGCAACAATTATTCATAAAATGGGACAGGAGTTAGAATGGACATTATACAGATACACTTTTTTTTCATTCGGTGCTTTGTTTTAGGCACTGTATGAGACATTTAATACATAAAGCCAGATGTGAAAATATTTGCCAATATTCTTCAAACAAAGGGAAGGGAAATTACCAAACCTCAGAGGAATGGACCACTGCTTACTTTGAACAGATAATCAGCAGCTAACGTTGGATTTGTAATATAATTCATTTTCTGAAGGCATTTGGGAGGGTGAGGATATTACCTGGCTTGAAATGGAAACAGCATTTGACTTCCAGTGCCCCTTCTGATGTTACCTTTAAAGCAAAATTTAAATTGGGACAAGACCAGCCAAAATGGGTACAGAACTTACACCGAGGATACTTAATGGAATATTAGCTTCAAACCTTGATCTGGGCAGGACAATAACCTGGCTTTTAACTGATCCTGGAAAATTCACCCCTTTAAGGGCTCAGATTCTGAAAAAGTTTTTATGAAAAATCAGATTGTGATATTAACACCAACAAGCCAGAGGCTTTTTTAATTAGTCTGTTACTAAGCTTTATAAAGCAATTTTTCTTCTCCTCTGAGGACTTGGGGTGTAAGAGCTTGGAAATGCAAATCCTGCTTAGGCTCTTTCTTATATTTTACATGCGTCTTACAGGAAGTCTCAGACATCACAGCTAAATTTCACAGTGGCTTGTCAAAGTGACTGGGTTGAGGTAAAAGGATTATAAGGAAGGTAGCATTAGGTGTCCTTGGGGGCACTCCCAGCCCTTTCTAGAAACTTTCTCCAGAGTGGTGCCTGTGAACGCTTTCCAAATTCACACGAAGAGACTAGAAGTCTTGAATCAAATGAAATAATGAATGCCTGTGAAGGAGGGCCAGAGATTGAGGCCCCTCCATTAGGCATCTGGGCTCATGGGATGCATCTGGGCTCAGTAGGGGCCCCAGTAGGACTGAACCGTTGTGTAGTTTAGGTGTGCCTGGAGCACTATGCATTATACAAGCTGCAAGAATTACCATGTTCCATGCCTTATTCTTTTCCCATTGGTAATAAAATCACAACTTGCATATTATCATCTCAGTGTGTAAATGTAAAGGCATGATGAGAAAGGCAGGTGACCTTTCACCTCTTATGATTACAGGAAGAAATGTTTCCTTTCCTTTCCTTTCACTGTAGTAAGATCTTCCAGACCTGGGCTTCTATGAGTCTTCCAGATTTAACAAAATCCTTACATAAAGATAACACCAAAAAGTTTCACATGTAGCTTATGCCTGTGGTAGCCTAAGTCTTACTGAAGCTCAATGGGTAGAACCTAAATCCAAAAGGCTGGTGAGAGAAGTTACACATAAACTGGCTTAAGTGATCAGAAACTGGTTTCAACCTGTAACAGAACAGAAGTTCAGTGTACATAAACCAATTTCAAAATGGCTAAAACTGGTTTAAGATAAACCTGGTTGAATGTAGTATCAGACTTAACTGACTTGGGTAAAACCAATTTATGAAACTTCTGTCCCAGATCCCTTCCCAGTTCAAGTTAAATCACAGCTCCCCAGCATCCCACGATGCTTTTCAGCCCTGTGCTGTGCTGGGCTGTGCTGTTTGCTTTAGAGAGGGGGGTTGGCCCTGCACCTCTGCTCCCTAGATAGCCTCACTGGTTGGCTCACTGCTTCCCCCCCACCCCCAGACAAACACCTGCTGGGATCTGGGGTCTGGGGCCAGGGAGGGGGTTAAAGCAGGTATGGAGATGCCCTGCCCTGCTTGCTTAGTGCTGGTTGCAACTGAACTACAAATTCCAGAGGCAACTGGAAGCAGGAAGAAGTGATAAGCAGCCCTGCAGAGTCCTACCACTGTAATTCTGGACTGTGAATCCCAGAGAGCAGGAAGAGGAAGCAAACACACAGCCCATGCTGGCTACATGCCAGCAAGCTGTGTTCTAGCAGCCCCTGGTGACCAGCTTGGGCCACTGCAGGCATGTGGCTGCATTTCCTGAATCAAAAGTGAATGCCTACCCATTTGCTTATTGGTTCAGTCCTTGCAGCTTAGACTAACTTGCAAAGACTGAATCAATTCAGCCTCAGGCTTTTTGACTGTCTGTACTTAGACAAAATAACTGAGACTTGGGGCCAGATTTTTAAAGGTTTTTTCTAGGGTTGACAAGCCAGTCAATTGATTGCATATTTTTTTGGCTGGTCAAAGATTATAGTTATTTTACAAAAAAAAGGATTTTTTTGAAGTTTTCTTGACAGAAATATAATTTGTTTTGTTTTTTTCACACATTTCTTAATAGAACAATTGTGCTTTTTCTATGTATTATTCGCACCTATTAGCATTTTAAAATAATTTTTAACTGATATTTGACCAAACTATTGACTGGTCAAAAACCCAACTCTAGTTTTTAATTTCTTCTTTATTTTGTATTTAACAGTATTAGTTTTCAACGGGAGTTACGTGCCTAGATGCTTCTGAAAACCTTATTAGTCATCTATCCATGTCTTTGATACCTAAGTTGCTTTTAAAAAATGTGATTGCTAGCTACCTTGGCCAGGTGCTCTTGAAAACATTACCCCCTCCTGCTTAGTTCTGAAGACTTATCAAAAGGAATACAATTTAGAACCTGAACTGAAAAACCAAATTAACCCCCATGAACTTTGAATTCTGGCTTCCCAGAGCAGTTCTTTATCTAGTAATTAAGAATCAATTAAACTATAAAATTATTCTATTTCATAATTAAGTTTTACTTAGGAAATAGATGAGATAGCAACCCCCTTGAAAGGAATGAAGCACTTAAATGAGACAAACAGAAGGCATGGGAAAGATGTACAAGAAATTTTGATTAGTACTGAAAGGAAAAGTTTTATCAACAAGGCTACTTCAGCTCACATTCTCCTTTGCACTAAAGAAGATTTAACCCAACATAAATAGCCTAATGCTGAAAGGAATGTGAATGAATAGGGATACATTTACATCTAGTGGAAATGCCCCGAGGTATAGGCCACATCATATTCCTTTTCTTTCTAAGGCATCTATTGTTTTTGGCTGTTATCAATAGTTCAAAAGAGCAGTTTCCATTGATGGGATTTTTGATTATATCCTGGTAATACTTTATTGTGCTGTACGTGTCTATACATTCTTAGCAATAAACTATATGGTACTGATAATTCTTTCCATCCTCATTTTCCTCAATAGTCTTGAAGATTTGGTATCAGTCCCCTAATGTACCCATGGGTTTTCCTCTCCAAATCATGGAGACTCTCTCTCCTGCAGCTGTCTTCTGTGATACTCTCCTTCCTTCCTACTCTCAATAAAATGACTTTTATTTATAAACTCCTGTCCCCTTTGTGAGGTGACCCTATGTCTGTTCAGTCTCATCTTACTTAGGGTAGGCCCTTGGAAGGCCTCTGCACTGCAGCTGGGCAATTAGATCGGCATCACTCAGCCCTAAGCAGGGCCAGCTGAACCTGATGAGTGGCTCCAGGGCTGCTTTTAAGGAGCTCTGGCAGCACCTGACCCCTGCTGCACAACAAACTGGCCTCACTCTATATGTAGTTCTCATCCACGTGATTTCCCTGGTGCCTGCTCCTGCATTCCTGCCCATGTACCCAGTCCCTGATCTTCAGAACCCCAGTTTGACCTCGGCTTGCTTCTTGACATCCACTTCTGGTAACCCCCTGGCTTGTACATGAACCCTGGTTCTATCTCAACTCGGCTCCTGACCTCCACAAGTCTGGTAATCCCTTTGGCTTGGCGTGTGAAACCCAGTTTGACCTTGGCTTGCCCCCTGAATATGGACACTGGTAACAACACCCCAGCTCTAACCATTAGGCCTAATGCCTAGTGGACCTGCGAATCTGCATGGCACAATGTAGTGCTATGAAGAGCTACTTGAGCTAGTGCTGAACAAACTAGCTTGTGTAGCAGAAGCAATCCAGCCACATTCTTCCTAGGATAATTGCTGTGCATTGCTCCCTGTAGACATGTCCTTAGTTACTAGCCTACCTGGGGATAATCAAGGCCATCAAGGCTTAACAGCTGTTCATGTTTAGCCTTGTGTCACCTAAGATAGAGGTAAAAAGATAACAGGACTGACAGCCAACCCTCACATACCAACTGGAATTTTCA